GATATACACCGAGGTTTGGAAACCACTTCCAGTAAAAAGAACACCTTCGATCTCTCCCCCTTTCCTTATATAAACTCTAGGGAAGTGGGGAGGGATTGAAGGTGGTTTTTTTACTTTATATATGCTCTAGGCTTATATATAATTTTAAAAATATAAGCTTCTGGGAAGTGAATAGATAATGGATAGAATATCTAGACAGAAAATCAGTAAACAAATCAGGACTTGAACAACGCTGTAGACCAAATGGACCTTACACACATATATGCAGAACATTCCACCCAACAGCAGCAGAATACACATTTTCCTCAAGTACACATAGAACAGTCTTTAGGACAGATCACATGTTAAGTTTAAAAGTAAGTCTCACCTCTCAAAGGTGCCATTTTCTGCTTAGCAGTACTCCATTTCTTTGTATCATTTGAAGGTTCTTACAACCCTCTTACCTCCAGGCAGCCTTTCTGGATTAAATCTCGGCTGACCATGAGTTTCTTAAGACTCTCCCCAACCTTCCTGACCCCAAAATGTGGATATGCTTTCCATTTATGTATTAATTTGGTGTTTCCACTCTGTTGGCTTGCTACCTGAGTCTTAGGCCACTGCTGCGTACAGAGCCTCTGGACGAGGTCTGTCTTAACTGCTTCATTATTATTTGATGACAATGATAATGAGTATAGCAGGGATGGAATTCTGGAGACCCAGGTTCAAGCCTCTGTTCTTCTAGAGTATAACCTTGGATAAATTCTGTTCCCTTTCTGAGCCTCAGTTTCCTCATCTGCGAAGTGAGGGGTATATATACGGTCTCTGCAGTCCTCCTCTATAGGCTCTAACTTTCTCTTTCGTCCTTTTATTCACTGGATAAATTTCGTCCTTTTATAGCTAAGGAAGTGAAACTCCAGAGACACTCCTGAAATTGTCCTAAGTCAAAGGAGCCAAACAGTGCACCAGCTCCCTCTCTGCCATCCCCTCTGAGAGCAGGCATGGCCCTGAGTGATGTCGATGTGCAAAAGCAGATTAAGCACATGATGGCTTTCATTGAGCAGGAAGCCAGTGAGAAAGCAGAGGAAATCGATGCCAAGGCTGAGGAAGAGTTTAACATTGAGAAAGGACGCCTTGTGCAAATCCAACGGCTGAAGATTATGGAGTATTACGAGAAAAAGGAGAAGCGGATAGAGCAGCAGAAGAAAATCCAGATGTCCACCATGAGGAATCAGGCAAGGCTGAAAGTCCTGAGAGCCCGAGATGACCTCATCTCAGATTTGCTCAGAGAGGCAAAGCTGAGACTCAGCAGGATTGTAGAGGACCCAGAAGTCTACCAGGGGCTGCTGGATAAACTGGTGCTCCAGGGTCTGCTCCGACTGCTGGAACCTGTGATGATTGTGCGCTGCCGGCCACAGGACCTCCTCCTGGTGGAGGTTGCAGTGCAAAAGGCCATCCCTGAATACATGACAATTTCCCAAAAACATGTGGAGGTCCAGGTTGATCGAGAGGCATACCTGGCTGTGAATGCAGCTGGAGGTGTGGAGGTCTACAGTGGCAATCAGAGAATAAAGGTTTCAAATACCTTGGAAAGTCGACTGCATCTCTCAGCCAAGCAAAAGATGCCCGAAATACGAATGGCCTTGTTTGGTGCTAATGCCAATAGAAAGTTTTTTATTTAAACCTCTGGGAAGTGAAGCTCGTGGTGAACCACTAAATCATAAAGGTCTAAGTTTTTTGGGCAAAGGAAACTAGTGGTGTTTCCTCCTCTTTGATGCTCTGATATTGTTCTGTTTTTCTTCATGAAATGTCCTTTAATAACTAAAATGTTAACTTTGAAATAAAGCCCAAATTAATGCCCAGAATTCAAATTTCATTTCATCCATACACACCACAGCTTCTGGTCTATTCTGCAGTTGGGATAAAGGGAGTGATGACATCTGCTCTTCAGCTTGGCCTCAGGTGGTCAAAGCGTGAGATGTGAATAGTGTTCTTGGCCTGTGGATCTGGGTGCTCCAGTTTAATATGCATATGAAGTGTGTTCTTCTTTTGTTTCAGCTTTAGTACCCACACTTATATTATTTAATGAGGTCTAGAGGTCTTTCTCACATGTCCAGAACCAACTTCATGGGCATCCAACCAGCACAGTCACACAGGGGCCCATGCTCAGAAGGGCCCAGCATCTAGGGTGTAGTGATCTGTATTTGCTGCCCTGAAATTCCTAATTTCATCTTTGGATCTATGTTTTGTAAGTGACAGTTGATAGGACATTGGGGCATATGCCAGGGGTTTGGAGCTTTGGCTCACACATGGTACTGACTCCCAAAGCCTATCCACTTTCTTGGGATGGGTTGTTGGCCAACCAATTCCCAGCCCCCTGGTGCCCTGAGGCCCAGCCTTCCTCTAACTCACCCCTTGAGCATTGCTTCCCTCTGCCCCTGGCAGGGGCCTGGTGTGCATGCAGGGAGGGTCAGAGAGGGGTTTCATGCTCTGTGGAGCTTCAGGGTCAGACATCCCTGCCCAAGACCGGCAGCTCTGTGGCACATTCAGTAGGAAACTCAGGGGGAGGGGTGAGTCTCTCACCCATCAGATACTGATAGTGAGCCTGTCTTGTGTAGAGGTTTAAAGAGCCTTCGAGTTACCTGTCTGCTATAGGGCAGCCAGCCCACTAGAAGGAGAGATGCCAGCTCAACTTCCCTGATTCTGGCCCAGGCACCACACTGGTGGCTGGTGGGAAGGGGGACTCAACCACTGCCCAACTTGCTGCACCAAAATCTCAGGGCAGGACCCTCAGGAGCTTGTAAGTGTCTGCACTTGGCCTGCAAAGTATCCCTGTGCCTGGCAGGGTGCTCCCTTGGATAGTTCGGTGCCTGGGGGAATTTGGACATATCTCTTCTGGCCAGTGTGAGGCACCTTCTGGAAGGAGCCAAGAAATACAGGTTGTATAATTTTGGTGGCTCAGCATATGGGCATTGCACAATAAAAAATAAATGGTAGAATTCATGCTAATAATTTAAAGTAAATTTTCTTTGCTTAGGAAGATATTAAACAGCAAATAAACACTAGGAAAAGTCAAGAAAAGACTACAGAAGAAAGGAAAAAGCTTTATATTTTACTGCTGTTCATGTCACTTCTCTCCTGCTTTTGAACAAAGGATCTCACATTTCTTTTTTTCTTTTTCTTTTTCTTCTTTTTTTTTGAGACAGAGTTTTGCCACTGTTGCCCAGGCTAGAGTGCAATGGCGCCATCTTGGCTCACTGCAACCTCCGCCTCCTGGGTTCAAGCAGTTGAGCTGGGTTCCTCCTGGGTTCCTGCCTCAGCCTTCCAAATAGTTGGGATTACAGGTACATGCCACCACAACTGGCTAATTTTGTATTTTTGGTAGAGATGGGGTTTCACTATGTTGGCCAGGCTGGTCTCGAACTCCTGACCTCAGGAGGTGATCCACCCACCTTGGCCTCCCAAAGTGCTGGAATTATAGGTGTAAGCCACTATGACTGGCCAGAACTCACGTTTTCATTTTGGACTGGGCTCTGCAAATTACATAGCTGGTTCTCCATGTGTATGTGTGATTTAAGGTCTAATCACTGCCTGATGTTCCTTTATTTATTAAAATAGAATTTTTTTTGAAGAAAAGAGATCCCAAGATACTCTGTTGAGGCCAAAGGTTGGCCTGTGTGGTTAGGACTCTGTAAGGAACAGAAACTTCATGAAACTCAAACACAAAGTAGGAGACAGGCTACTAGTACACGGGGGTATTTTGCAGAACCTAGAACAGGAACCCTTCATGATCTCAGGGGAGGGCTGGAATTGGGATTCAGAAAGCCATCTGAAGCCCTCTATATGGCCACTTTTCTTTCTTTAAGGAGTGACTTTCTCTGTTGCCCAGTTTAAATGGTGACGAATGCATGCCCCACAATTCCAAAGTAGACATGTTATAGTTCCAGAAACAGACCTGCCTCTCTTGAAGTCCATTCCACTTTCCCAGGAGGGAATCTATTTGCCAGCTGGGGTCAGGTGTCTACCTATGGTCCAGTTGATGTCTGGGGCAGTTCCCAGAGAAACAAGGATTTTTGTCAGCTTTTGAGTTTCAAATTTAGTCATTAAATGAACACTTTTTTTTTTTTTTGAGACAGATTCTCGCTCTGTCGCCCAGGCTGGAGTGTGGTGGTGTGATCTAGGCTCATTGCAACCTCTGACTCCCAGGTTCAAGTGATTCTTCTGTCTCAGCCTCCTGAGTGGCTGGAAATACAGGTGCCTGCCACCATGCCTGGCTACTTTTTGTATTTTTAGTAGAGATGGGGTTTCACCATATTGGCCAGGCTGGTCTTGAACTCCTGACCTCATGATCCACCCGCCTTGGCCTCCCAAAGTGCTGGGATTACAGGCATGAGCTACCATGCCTGGCCTCAATAAACATTTTCTAAATGCCAATAATGAGCCAGGCACTGTGCTGGGTGCTGGGCTGCAAAGAAGAATATAATCTGGCTCTGTTCTTTAAGGAGTCATAGACATATAAACAGATGATGATCATGATAATGACATAATGTGGCAAGTGCCAGCCTAGTGCTGATGTGAAATCCTGTGGGAAAAGAGTGGTAAGAAGGGAGGGTAATAGAAGGGTTCCTGGGTGTTGGCAGTTGAGCTGGGGAAAGTGCTCCAGGCAAAGGTAGGAAAGCATGTGCCAAGGCCCTGAGGTGTGAAACTGTAGGGTGCATGAGAGTAGCTGTGTGTAGTTCAGTGTGATGGAATGTGAGGGGTGAAGAGGAAGAGACTGCGGATGAAGCTGGAAAGAGGGGCCTCGATACAGGGTGTTGCTCTGGAGGTTGTTGGGGTTTTTTTGTTTTTGTTTCTTTGCGTATTTTTTTTTTTTTTTTTGAGACAAGGTCTTGCTCTGCTAGCCAGACTGAAGTGCAGTGGCATGATCTTGGCTCACTGTAACCTCAGCTTCCTAGGCTCAAGCGATCCTCCTACCACAGCAGGTTACACAGGAAGTGGGAGCCAACTTTCCAGAAAGGGAGGGGCTGGGGGCTTGGTCCTGAGTAGCTGGGACGACAGGCATGCACCACCACACCTGGCTAATTTTTTTAACTGTTTGTAGAGATGGGTCTCATTATGTTGGCCAGGCTGGTCTTGATCTGGATTCAAGCAATCCTCCTGCCTTGACCTCCCAAAGTATTAGAATTATAGGCATGAGCCACCACGCCTGGCCAGCTCAGGAGTTTTGACTTAATTCTGGTGGGTGAGTGATCAGAGGTCACTGAGGGATTTTAAAAGTGAATGAAACAATGAGAGCTGGACTTTCCGAAAGATTATTCCAGTGTCACTGTGGGTGGAGGACACATTAATGCGGAGGAGAGACTAGAGGCAGGGCACCACTCCCGGGGGCTATTTATCAGCCTGAGTGAGAGGTGACAAATAATCTACCCAGCTCTTTTGTCAGGCAGGTGAAATTCGTGATACAAAGGTGGGAAGAGATTGGAGTCAGTGACTTCCGTCCTATGCCTCCTCCCTTCCCCCACCCCAATATATTTTTTCACTTGTCCAGGCTTGAGGCTTTATTACAGTTTCATATCATCTTACGATTTTTTCTTTTAAGAGTCTCCCTACCCTCCAAGCTTTCCCCGCTCTCTCCTCACCATCATTCCTGGCCTAGCAACGCACCCACTTCCCAGCTGACCAAGCCTCCAGCCCCTCCCCGTCTGGGAAGTCAACCCGTCTGTCCAGCTCTAACCCTGGGGTGTCTGAACCCCTCAGCCTACCCTAGCTCTGGCCCCATGAACCAACCTCAATCTGTTAGCTGCCCCCAACATCAATTCGCCTCCAAAAAAAAAAAAAAAAACCACCTACGACTGTCCATCGTAGGTTTTATGAAAGGTTTTGCAGGAAGTTGAGGAGAGTGTTGCATAGTGTTTATAGAACAAACTTTCCCCAAAGGCCTATTTAAGCATCTCTATGTTTTCTAACTTTTCTCTTTCCTGGAGCTGCCACACATTAGCTCTTTTTCCCAGCCTTCTCCCTCTCAACCCTGTGAGTTCCAGCCTTTTCCTCACCACGTTCTCTCAGCAACACAAAAGCCTTGGCCTCCCGCAGTCTCTGGACCTAGGGACTGTGTCTCTTATTGAGAACTTTTCATGCCCTGCTTTTCTTTACTAGTAGCAACTTTATCTACTCATGTCAACTTTTTACACATCGTTCCTCAAGGACAGAGACTGTATCTTTTCTCTTTTTTGCATCCCCTGCTGCTGTGTTAAACTAGTGCCTGACATAGTAGGTTCTGAACAAGCATTGACCCTTGTTACATTCTTCTCTCTAGGTCTGGCTCTGGGTTATGGATGGAGGACTCTAGAGCCCCTCTCCTCTTCTGGTCCACAGATTGGGCCATAAAAAAGGGCAAGGATATGAGGTGGTGGTCAGGGGAAGGGTGGTACATTGTATTCCAAGGATCCTTCTGGACAAGAAAATCCTCTATTGCTCCCAGGGAAAGGCTGTGGATGGGAACAGCCTGAACTTCAGGCAGGATGCACTCCCTGCCTCACTTTGGTCTAGGGGTTGGTTACCTCCTGGGGTTGCTTGAGGGTTAATTGCACTCTATCCCTCCTTGGGAAACAGATGGGAGGGGCCTTGCTTTGGATCTGGGTGCAGAGGCAGGAGGCTCTGGAGGGACTGGGCCCGGTATGTGTCCTCCATGGAGGCCTCAGCCACGGAGAGGCACAGCTTCGCCTTCATGTCTATGTGGTCATCAAGGCTAGACTTGACCCTTGGGGGAGGCTACCTGTCACCATCCTGTTGAGCTCCAACAGCGGCAGCCCTGCAGAGGCCTTTGCCATAGAAAGGTCTGCACTGGGTGCATTCTGCTAGCTGAGTGAATGGTGCAAACTAACATGCGCCCTTTATTGACATTAACATCCTTCCCTCTAGAAGACATGTTCCTTGTGTAAGCTCCTCGGTCGCGTGAGCCAAAAGGAGCAAACTGTTGCAAGGCAGGCAGGCACAACCCTTCCCCACACCTCTCCTCATTAACACTTCCTCCCCAGGCACAAGGGAAGCTGTCTGCTACTGACGCAGAGGCTTTGCTTATGGTGATGTGACTGCTGTAGACTCACTCCCTGCTGGGGAAGAGCTGGGGGAAGCCCAACAACAGTAGGGAGGTTCTGCCCCACAGGCTAGGAGGCCAGCTGCTGGAAGAGGATGGAAGGCAGGATTAACTTGGTGAAAGGAGAGTATGGATTTTGTTCTGATCCTCAGCTGCCTGGAGAGCCAGGAAGGGAAGGGATGCTTTGACTGTATGGCAGGACCTCAGAGAAGGCAGAGGGACTAGCCCAACCAAACAGAAAATGCTGCAGGGCTTCTTCTCCGACCCTGGACTCATAGGACCCCCGGTAGTGGGTCAGCAAATAGATTCTGGGCCCAACCACCGCCCCCCCACAACCTCTATTGAGCAACTGCAGCCCCTTCCTGGGCTCCCTAGGGACATTACTCAAGTCTTTGCCCCCATCCTATGCTCTCCCCAGTCTACCCAGATACTCCTTCCAATTCACAATTTCATCTCTGAAACCACACCTAGTACTAATGGCACTGGGAAAGGACTCTAGTCTGTCTCCCACACCCACCTTCCTGTGGGCAGTGCTAGAGCACGACAAACCCTCACTTTTCATAGCGCCCTATGCTTTCCTGCACAATCACAGAGCTCACCCAGTGGTCTGGTCTTACAGAACAGCAATATGTCAACCTAAAAGGTAGAAGTGGAGACAAAATATATAATATAAGTGGAGAGTTTATTTGGGTCAAGTTTGAGGATTACAACTTGTGAGCATAGATTCAAGTTGCCCTAAATATACACTCTGATTTGCTGCAGTTACAAGCAGATTTTTTTTTTTTTGAGACAGAGTTGTTGCCCAGACTGGAGTGGAATGGTGAAATCTTGGCTCACTGCAGCCTCTGCCTCCCAGGTTCAAGCCATTCTCCTGCCTGAGCCTCCTAATAGCTGGGATTACAGGCATGCGCCACCATGCCTGGCTAATTTTGCATTTTTAGTACAGATGGGGTTTCTCCATGTTGGTCAGGTTGGTCTCAAACTCCTGACCTCAGGTGATCCGCCCACCTTGGCCTCCCAAAGTGCTGGGATTACAGGCATGAGCCACGGTGCCCAGCCACAAGTAGATTTTTAAAGGCAAAAATGGGAGATAGGGCATGGGCTGAAACAAAGTTGTTTATCAGGAATTCTCATTGGTTTACAGAGATAAGATTGATTTGATTGGCTATGCATTGCTAAGCTATAAAGCGTGGGCTGCAGTGTCTGGTATGGCATTATTCGGTTGATCTAGAGCTACCTGTGGTGATAGCAAGCCGTTTCAAGAGTCGAACACATTGCTCAAAGCAGGGGAGTAGGACTGCTTGCTGTCTCATTTTAGTGTCTCTAAAGGCCTAATGATTAAAAGGACTTGTATTCCTCAGATAAAGCTCTTTTCTTAACTCCTTTCATTGGGAGGTAAGTTACTCTACTTCCCTTTGTATATGTAGCAAAAGGAGATCAGTTCGGGCAGACCCTGGGCTCCTCACACCCTCCAGCACGTCCTTGGAGTGAGGGTACTAAGCACAGGCTTTCATCACTGAGAGATGAGCCTGTAGAAGGTGATGTTTGACTCACCCTCGTTGCTCCTAAACCTGAGTGGATTCGTGTCCTGGAGATTACCAAAGGTTTAGAGCATGAAGGGACCTTGAGAGCCAAATGTGTGTCTAAATCTGAAGCCCAGAGGAAGCAAGGAAGCAGTCCAGGGTCATCATCAGCTAAGAAGCCTCCTGGGACTGCAAACAGAAAGCCTGAAAAGACTAGGTGGTCATCATTCATTTTATGAAAAACTTGCTGTACAGAAGCTTAAGAACTTTGGCTTCCAGCAAGACAGTCAGGATAGAAAGTGCATGGCCACAGCTGGGTCCCTGGAAAATCCTTCATTTCTCCTTCCCAGGGTGTTGTGACCTCAGGGCTCGGTCACAGTGAAGGCCCGCAGAGAAGGGTTGGCTGTGGGTGACTGCATAAGATATATGGCTTGAGGGGCCCAGGGAAAGACTGAAGGAAGGAAGGGAGAGAAGGGAGGGGAGGGGAGGGAGTGGAAACAAAATGGGTTGGGGCTCAACTAGTAGAAGGAGAACAATAGGGAGTGTTTGAGATTTTTGTCTTTGCTTGTTTGGAAATTGAACCCTGGGTTTTCATTCAGTTAAATTCAAATCAGTAGGCCTCTTATTCATTCGTTCATTTGACAAATATTTACTGAGTAGTTACCAAGTGTCAGGCCCTCTGCCAGGCACTGCATCCCTTGCAATGAACAAGACAGTTAAGCCCAGCCTTCAAAAAGGAACATTCTAATGTGGATGAAGCAGGGAGGGGTGGGCACAGTGGGAGGGATCAGGTTTGTGAAGGAGCCATAAACAAATGGGCAGGCCGTGACTTGGGGTTGGTCTAAGTGCCAAGGAGAAGTAAAGGGTTATGGGCAGCATGGCCGTCCATGTCCCCTGCTCAAGGAGGGCCTCTTCCTAAGTCTCCTTTGTGCTTAATGGAGGGGAAGGAGCCAGCCACAAAAACAGAAGTAGGGGAGGAGGGAGCTAGGGAGACAGGAAGGGCATTCATTCTAAGCAGAGGGAACTGCAAGGGTGTCACATCTGTCTGGGATTGTTCAGGCTGCTATAACAAAATACCTTAGACTGGGCAATTTATAAACAAGACAAACTTAATGCTCACAGACTGGAGGCTGGGAAGTCCAAGATCAAAGCATCTGATCTCATTCGTGAGGAGCACAGCCCTCCTGATCTAATCATCGCCAGAGGCCCCACTTATTAACACTATCACATTGGGGATTAAGTGTCAACATATGAATTTTATGGGGACACCGACATTCAGGCCACAGCAACACTTGAACCACGGGGACATCAAGGCAAAAACAGCTGTGCTGGTTTAAGGAACAGGAAGGAGACCAATGGGGCTTCACTAAGTGGGTGGAGGAGAAAGAGAAAGGATAGGGCTTTTGTGGGTCTTCT